TTATTTATTTATTTATTTATTATGTTTCTTCTCACTGTTATTCATTTTCACCCATTTTGTGATACAGATGTCAATATATGTTTGATTGCTTCTATTTATTATATCTGCAGGAAGAGATCACTGTTTTATGCAGCATAAGTCCTTATTTATCATGTGAACACCTCAATTCTACTGAACAGATTGGCTGCAGGAGGAGGGCACTGTCATTTAGCCTGTGCTCACCTCAACTGAACAAGCTTAGGCTACATGAAAAGCATACTGCCATTCAGTGTGTGCTCACCTCAACTCTACTGAACAGGGTTAGACTGGAGGAGGAGGAGGGCACAGCTGGCAGGTATGATGTATCTGATTCATATGTTGGGTGACCTGCACTGCACCAACAGTGTCACCACTGCCCCACTTCTCACTGTATTGGCACTCCTATTTCTAGCCTCAGCATTACCGTCCAATCAGGAAGTGGTAAGTCACAAGGGTCTCCCATTCTCAACTCAACAGGGGAGAGGGGATTCATGTGGGGAAAGACCTGGAGAAATTGCCCAGAATACCAATTGTCTTTCAGTCCAGAAGGGTCTTTTACTAGAGACAGTGCATTGGGTGACTGAAAAAACCCTATTTTTAAAAACCAACAAGTATGAGCTGGAGTAGTGGGCAGAACACATCCCTGGTGCTGGCTTTTTCATTGATGGTCCATGGAATTGGTATGGTGTGGATTGGACTATTGAGTGAATATCTATCTATACACACACTATGAAGATATCTAAAGCATTGTGGCAGAACAACCCATCTCACAGAAGGCACATGTAAAGCCAGAGCAGATGGTATACGAGCACTTTCTGTTATCCTGGCTTGATGCAGATTTTGGGTAAGTATACCCTGGTAGGAATTATTAACCACCTGCTAGGTTCCTATGAACTAAAAGTACATTGTTAAGAAATGAAATTGAACTCACCTGTTTAAAGATGGTAGGTAAATTGGAGGATAGTGATCAAGTGAAGTTGAAAACCCTCAAGAGATGAGACAGCCAGATGGTGAAGATAGCAAACAATGAATGTGTAGTTCACATGCCAGCCTGAAGGATTTTCTTATAAAGGTTGGTGAAAGTATGAGGTGAGATAATGGGTAAGGTAGCAAAGTTGATAAGAAGAAATGTGTGGCTCGACAGATAATGGACCATAAAAATCTCATACATGAAGATGTAGGGATGTCAAACCTTGATGAAACAGTGACTTGTAAGGTTGAAACAAGAGAAGTGGCATGTTGGGAAGAAGAGGGTTTGGTTGAGAGGCGAAGAAGCAGAGGAAACCAAGGTTGAGCTGCCCTATGAGGTGCTACAAAAGGAAATGGGTAGATAGACTAGGGCAAGGAACAGATGTAGCAGAGTGAGGTTGAGACAGATGGGAAACCAAAGAGGACAGAGGATTAGTAACAAGCAGCTTCAGATCATGATTCTAATTAATCAGGAACACCACCAAAGACCTCAAGACAAAAAAAAGAGGGTAAGGTGAAGGTCACAGAGAAAGTAGGTAAGGAAACAGATTTGAGAGAGAGGAGAGTATCCATACCAAATAAGTGCGAACAATATTGGAACCAGATCAGAAGGGAAAGGCACAAGAGGTGGAACAAGTAAAAGGGGAAAAATGAATGGAACAAGTTTTCCCTGAAAGTTATCAGACATGAAATGTATAGAGGAGAGATAACAAAGGAGGGTAGTGAGAAAGATACGGAGATGAGAAAATTGGGCACTCACTGGAGAGTGAGATGGGAAAAAAAGAGCACACTCCCTAAACAGGTAAGAGTAATTCAAAAGACTGGGAATCAAAAAATTGAAAATTGGAATGGTTGTATGCCAAAACATAAGAATCAGCTAAATGAGGGGAGTGAGGCATAAGACTGCAGGTACAAAGTTGATCAAGGAATGAATCTGTATGTACTGCAATACTAGGAGAGGGAAGAAATATAAAATAATCATGAGGATCAGAATCATGGACTAGAGATTGTGAAGTTTTTTAAGAAATGGAAAGAACAGAACATACCCGAGAAATTAAGTCTTGGAAAAAAGAGGAAATTTGAAGACTTTTCTCAATAGGCACATTAATTTCTAGGCACGAGCTGGAGGAGGAAAAAGGCAATCAAATCCATCCTCTTCTATATCTGTTTCAAGTGAAGGGAAGAATCACCAGAAGAAGGAAAAGGAGCTGAAGGCCCAGGCTGCATGATGGATTCCACAACTAATTGAAATATAACCGTTACATCTTCCACAGTTAATGAATTTCCAGATGCCATGGTTGAAGATGTGCAAGAAAGCAAATTTCAGCAAATTGAAACATGTCTGTGCTTTAGTGCTGAGGAAAATAATGAAGTTTCATGAGTACAAATGCAAAGAGGAGTTATTGTCCATGGAGGTGTGTTGCCCTCCTATTGGTGGAGGGCTTTTGTTGCACGATGGTGTTATCATACAGTGGCACAAATCACATAAAATTAGGTGGGAATTGCCTCAAGGTTAGTGGGATGCAAATCTCTAAGGCAGATGTGCAAGCAAGATAGCTAAAGCTAAACTTTGTGAAGAGGTGAGTTATCATCTAAAAAAAAATGTTTAAGGCTTTTACCAACAGAGTTGGGTTACAAAAACAAGTGAATAGTCATATGACAATATAAAAATCTTAAAATTTAATAATTTGCCAAATCAAACATAGTAACCTGCTACAATAGAAAAATTAAAGCGTTTTTTGATAGTTCTATAAACAGACACATATAATCAACTAGAATCACATACCACATGGAATTTTAAATGCTTGTACCAACTAGACCTCACAAAGTCAGCCATTAATAAATTTAATTTTTCTATTTCTTTCTAAATCATATGTAAGATTTATCACTTTGAGTGACTATGCTCCAAGAATAACCTTTAACCAAACCATAACTACAGACTGCACTATTAATATAGCCAATGAGTCTACCCCCCATTCAAAGCTAAACCTCAGTACTTAGTTTGAATTAAGCATTTTTATTTAAAATCTATTCCTCAAACTATAAACAGAGTTTAAAAATTCAGTTATAATGACTTTTTTGGAAGTATATCAGTTTACAAGAGTTTAAGAGCAAAAAAGGTGATTCATGGTTATCTTAAGATAAATCACAATTTTCATACAAAAAATAGCTTTATGAACTACTTACAGTTACAGTAGCAAGCAGGCCTTCAGGAACATTAGCAACAATGATGCCAATCAAGAAGATAACAGCATCAAGCCAGTAGTAGCCAAGGATGAAAGCAACAATGAAGAAGCTGACACCAAGAAAGACTGCAACTCCAGTAATTATGTGGATAAAGTGAGCAATTTCTCTGGATATAGGAGTGTCTCCCATTTCAAGACCAGAAGCTAGGTTGGCAATTCGACCCATTACAGTTCTGTCTCCTGTGTTAACTACGACTCCTGTTCCCGTTCCTTAAAAACAAAACAAAAAATGCACTATCAAAATCTATTGTTTACAAATTCTTAGTGTTCTTATTAATACATTTATGTTAGCATTTTAATCAAATATACAAATATGAAAAAGCTGAAATGGTGTAACAGATTTCAATACAGTATATTTTCAGAATTTAATCATTTCATGAAAATTTTTAATTTGATACTTCAAAATGAAGGATTAAATCCTTTGCAAAACATTTTCTGCCCAGGGTAAAATCAGTGATAACTCCAGAAAAAGAAGTGGATCAGTGTTTTCCTGGAGTATACTAGATAATTTATCTGAACAAAATATGCTTGATGTACTGCAGCACTTTTTTTAAAACAATGAAAACAAATCTTTTAAAATTGAAAATTTTTGAAAAATATTTCTTTCTTTTTTTCTTATACAAAAGCATATAACCTCACTCTGAGACTTGCACATAACATTTTATCACATTAGTTACAAAAAATTATTTCCTGTTTATTTTCTTAAGTCCATCACACAATGAAATTAGTTCATGCATAAAAAATGCTTTATAAGTTAATGAAATTAATTATCAACTATAATTATTGTTTTCTGAATTTTGCAACAAAAGTTCTGTTGCAGCAAGTACATTGATATCCAGCATAAAAATTTCTGCTAAATGGAAGTTCAGGACTGTTAAGTGAAGAATAAACTGAACATGAACAATAGAAGAAAACAAGCAAATATAAGTGCAGTTTTAAACATAAAGTTCTTTATTGGTGTTAGGTTATTAAAAATGTTCAGACTTTTGCATTGTCTGGCTGCTAGAGGTCAATAAGAAGAAAGTAAATAGCAATCAAGAAAAAAAAATAAAAAGAGAAAATACTTAAACTAAATATTGTGAGGCAACAAAAGAAATTTGGGTATCCCCAATAGTCCAAAGGTTACATATTTCAATCTTAAGCTAAGCCAACTTCACAGGTTTATGTATTGTCCATTTTAATAGTATACCTTCCAAAAAGTCCATACAGAAACATGTACAAGCTAGTCTAAGATGTAACAACAAAGGTTGCAGTAAGTAGCTTGTATTTGAATAAAAAGATTTGTACATATTTACCAGAGAGACATTCAGTCAAGATGAATATGATTAACTACATACTAAAACTGCATGGAAAAATATAGCAAAAATATTAAGCGAGTATACTTACATAAAGATATATTCTATACTATTAATAAGTGAAATCATGACTATTTCAGTCATAACATTGTCACATTATGCTTTTCATGGTAGTTGTGAATGCATAGTTTTCAGTTAATCAATTTTCTTGTGTTAAAAGAAAATGTTGTACACTTTACCTATATCTTTATCTCAGATTTCAAAATTGTGCACTTTAGACCCTCTTGATATAAGTACTACCACAAACATAAATACACAGAAACAAACATAAATACTCAATCAGTGTTAAAAATAATGTTTTATGAATTCTTAACATAAACATTATTTTTAAATGACTTAAATGAAAATCATGATAATTAGAATTCATTTGCTTAATCTGATCCATACCATAACAGTTGTTGGTCATGATATATATATATGGCACCTATACCAAAACTATAACTGTGATATCCCAGCCAATTTGATCAACTCTTGTATTGGGTGAAAGGCCTCGTTTGGACTGGATGTGGCAGATGTTGTGTGGGCAACATTAAATTATATTCTCCTTTTCTTTCACTCATAGGTTCTTAGAATTTGTTGGTGGTTGTTTGGCATTTTATGGGGCAAAGCAACTAGGCTATCTGCAACTGTTAGAATTTGTATTATACAAAAGTACTTCTTAATTTAATATAAAGTTATATAACCTAATATATAATGATATATTACAGTAAAAGGTTACACATAATTTACAAAACATCATAAATTATTGAACTGCTGAAAATTGAAATATACAGCTACTTATCCTTAGTTTTTTACTATTTAGTCTATATTCTTATTTCTGAAATATAGCTTTGACAGTACATTACCCTCGACACAATTAGTTGAGAAAAATGCAATGTTTCTTGTTTCTAGTGGATTTTCATGAGTCATTTCTGGAGATCTAGTTTGTGGCTCTGATTCTCCAGTCAAAGAAGAATTATCCACTTTAAACCCTCGGCTTGAAAGCACCCTCATATCTGCTGGAATCCTGTCCCCACCTTTCACTTCCACAATGTCTCCAACAACCACTTCTTCAGCAGGGATAGTAAATTTTTGGCCATCACGAACGACTGATGCATACTATCCAAAACATACTAAGTTATTTGAACAGTTTGACGTGGTTTGCACTGAGCCACAGATAATTTCACCTCCAAAAATATAAAACATATATAAAATTTTTATATTTATAATAATTTTATTTTTTCCAATAAACATGTATTTAAACAAGTAATAGGAGTTCCAATGGGAGGAACTATTCTATATGTATAACTAATTTATATCTATATTTTTGATGAAAAGAAGTTTATTGGAAAAATCATAAATCCAAAAATTTTTGCCTTAACTTGTAGATATATTGATGACTTAATAAGTATTAACTTTATTATTAATCCTGAGATAAATAATTTTATTAACATTATTTATCCAGTAGAATTGGAAATTGAAAACATGTCAATTTCTGAAGTAAAAACACATTATTTAGATATAGAAGTTAAAATAATTAATCACAATATTAATTCAAATGTTTTTGGTAAGACAATTTTCTTTCTTTTCCAATATACAGCCTACCCTTTCCTAACAGTAATATTCCATATTTTTCTAGTATACATATTATAAATTCACAGTTGCTAAGGTCCTGTAAAAATTGAAAAATTACAATTTTCTATTTTACTTGTATAATTCAACATTATTTTACTACTGTTGAAATAAAAAAATACTACGTTACAGCCTGTTCTCTGGTGATCTTCTTAATATATGCAACATTATTGTTGTAGTTCTTAAGGCTTATTTTGATAATTAAAATGTTTTTCATCACAGGTTTGCAGTTTTTAATGCAGTGCATCATTTTGAATGTTATTATTTTCTTAACTGTTGAAATAATGGATAAAATGAGAAGTATTCATTCAGAAATAAAATATAGAAATACATTCACCTTGGAGAAAGAAGGGTCAGAAAACAGAAGTAGAAATGGAGAAATCACTACCATGTAACATGCATCCCTATTAGAAATAACAAGAAATCCCAACTGGACATTCAAACCATTTTCAGGTATAATCAAATCAATGAACAGTGCTGCATAATCATGGTTTAGCTAAACTTAACTGTTATTTTTAGAAAGCATTGTAGCTAGTATTTAGTTTTATCTTGCTGTGAATTAAGATACAATATGTAATTTTTTACTTTTTCAAAGTAAATATAATGTTACGACAGTAGGGGTCACGTGACGAGTATTCTAGAAGATTCGCTAGTGTGTTATGACAGCGTTGCATCAACTGACGCTGGTAGCACGTGTTGGGAGTCTTAGAAGTTTCTAGAACAGGCAGTATTATCGTATATATAAGTGCGCTAGACAGTGAGAGAGACAGACGGAGTCGAAGCAATAGTGGAGACAAAGACAGAGACGTAGTGGAGACGAAGCAGACACAGAGATCGGAACTATAGTTTGCGGGGACGGACAATTAAGTCTAAGTACGATAATAAGTGAGTGAATTGTTGTGAACTATAGTGTGTGTAACTGTGAAAATTAAGTACATTCAAAGTTGTATTGAGGAAGAATAAACAGGTTTTATAAAGAAAGGACTTGTATCTTGTAAGAATTAACAAGCAAACATACAGAGACGTAAGAAATTGGTGTCAGGAGTGGGAGAGCAAAAAAAAATGGAAACGAGAAGCGGCAAATCAAACCACAGCCTGGCAGACTTGATGGCAGCAATACAAGAACATCAAAAGAAACAAGAAGAA